TTCCATCTGCCAGTTCACTCCCCCGAAGGCTGCAGCAGCCGGGGCTGGGCCAGGCTGAAGCCAGGAGCCAGGAGCTTCTTCCGGGCCCCTCCGTGTGGGTGCAGGGGTCCCCCCACTCAGGCCATCTGCTGCTGCTTTTCCCAGGCCACTAGCAGGGAGCTTGATGGAAGGTGGATCAGCCTGGACACAAACTGATGTCCATATCAATGCCAGTGCCCCGGGCAGCAGCTTTCGTATCCAGCTTCCTGCTAACGTGCATCCGGGAGGCGGCACGTGATGGCTCAACTGTGTGGCTTCCTGTTTCCTGCATGGGAGATCCGGGTGGAGTTCCGGGCTCCTGCCTTCAGCCTGGTCAGCCCTGGCTATTGCGGACATTTGGGGAGTGAACCAGCAGAGGAAAGATCTCGATCTCTCTGTCTCTTATTCAGATAAAATGAAGATAAAGCCATAAAAATTGAAAGAGAAGATACACGGAAGTAGAATTTCTGGGTTATATGGAAATTCTGTGTTGACAAGCGGAGTACCCAGGCCTCAGACCCGCAGGGCATGCCGGCGTACGCAGGTGCTGGCTGAACCTGCCACACCACGACGCCAGCTCCCGCTGCTGACTCCTTGACTTGAGCCCGTGAGCCTGATGCAGGCTCCGTGACCTCCAGACCTGGGAGGGAGCGAGTGTGTGCTGTCCAAGCACTGAGGTGGGGGTGGTTTGTTAGCACAGCCGGAAGCCAGTACAGTCCTCACCTTGCATAGCCAGACCCTTAGGCCCAAGGGGAGGGTGAGGACCCGCCAAGATTTGGAATTCATGTATTGGCCAGTGACACCAAGGGTCAAGTACATTGAAGGGACAATAGCAAGACTTCAGTCCTCCCCAACAGAACATCCAACTGCAGCGATGGGACTCTGGGAGTCTGCGTGGAGAACGGGCACGGCATGTTGATGGGAGGGGGCTCTGTAAACAGTTTCTGGGTATTTGGTTTCTATTTTGCTTATCCTTAAGTTAATAATAGAGAATAAGATTTCCATCAGCATTTTGAGCTGGGCACACACACACACATACACACGCGCTCACACACATATTTATTTATTTGAAACACAGAGATACAAGAGAGAGATCTTCCATCTGTTGGTTCACTTCCCAAGTGGTCGCAACAGCCAGGGCTGGGCCAGGCTGAAGCCAGGAGCCAGGAGCTCCTTCTGTGGTCACCCTTGTGGGTGGCAGGGACCCAAGCCCCTGGGCCGTCATCCGCTGCTTTCCAAGGTGCATTAGCAGGTGGTTGGGTTGGACATAGAGCAGCCAGGACTTGAACTGGCCCTCTGCTATGGGATGCAGGAGTCCCTCGCAGCGGCTTAACCTGCTGTGCCAACGTCGGCCCTGAGCTGAGTATTTTTTGTCGTGGGTTCTGGGTACCCAGCAAGGAAGACAGGCAGATGTGATGGAGGGAGACTCCCGCTGGTGGATGGGGGCTAAATTCCAGAACCCACGGGGCTGCGATCTCCACGGTCAGGAGTCGGGGGCTGGCTAGGGCCGGGTATCCCCAAGTCTGTTATCTCAGTGACTGGTTAATTATATCAAGGCTTCATCGAGGGACACATGGCTGAATGTCTTAAAGGGAATAGAAGTTTCTTTAAAAATTTATTTATTTATTTGAAAGGCAGCGTTACAGAGAGGCAGAGGCAAAGAGAGAGAGGGAGAGAGAGAGGTCTCCCACCCACTGGTTCACTTCCCAAATGGTAACAACGGCTGGAGCTGTGCTGACCTTAAGCCAGGAGCCAGGAGCTTCTTCCAGGTCTCCCACACAGGTGCAGGGGCCCAAGGACTTGGGCCATCCTCCACTGCTTTCCCAGGCCATAGCGGAGAGTTCGATCGGAAGTGGAGCAGCCGGGACTCAAACCTATGCCCACTACGCCACAGCGCCAGCCCCTAGAAATTTCTTGAGCAGTCAAAGGCATTTCAGGCTTCCACTTCAGTGACAGGAGCGTCTCAATCAAGCTCTGTGCACTCTCTTGCTCCTGTAGTTCTCAGAAATGTGGTCATGTCGTTTCTGGCCAAACAGATCCGAAGCAGCAGCTAGGAAGCCCGGCGGTGAGGACAGGCAAGGAGGCAGCCCCACGAGGCACAGCAGCTGCGTGCTGGGAACGCTGCCGGGGCAAACATCAACACACACCCAGCCAGACGCCAGGTGCCCCTGCAGCTTAGCTGGTGTAAGAAAGCAAGCAAGGGGGCGATACATTGTAGAGGTTTTAATCCAAAATGGATGGGTCATCTTGGTGCTTGTGCAGGACACAGCCATCCTGAAAACTCAGTCTTCCCCACTCGGGGGAGCTGCGCTCCTGCAGGGAACAGAAACGTGACTTGTCCGGGCAGGGGACCTACAGGCGGAAGACATCTGCAGTGGGCAGCCAGACCCCCTCTGTGCCAGCCCTGGTTTACCTGGCTGCTGGCTGCCCTGGGCTGCAGGTGCTCCCCTCCTCACCTGGTCTGTCGTCCCTCACCGCTCCCCCGGGCTGGCTGGGCCTCCTTGCCCCCCTCCCTCCCGCCTCGGTGGCCTCCCGTGGGGGCAGCGATGGAACCACGGAGGAACAAAAGCTCCTTTTTCACTCTTGACCTTCATGCTGTGTGCAAATGGCATCCTTGTGAGCTCTTCCCAGGCAGTCACTCACACCAGAGCCCTAGAAAAACAGGCTGTGGCAAACAGCCTTGAGGAGCTGGGGATGCGGGTGGATGAGAGCAGAAGGAAGTGCAGAGGAGCAAGGGTCATGGTTAAAGCAAACAAACCCAAACAAACCGTGGCCTCACAAGTGCAAGAAGGGGCAGTGTCCTGCTCAGCATCCTGGTGGAAAATTTTAGGGTGGAAGAAGACAAGGAGTTGGAGATCAGGTGACACAGTTGGCCTCCGTTGTCCCTGCCGGCTGTGTCGCGGGCGGATGTCCTGCACAGACAGGGAGGGCGCCTGTCCCTGGCAGAGGGCTCCGCGTGTCCAGCCCTGTCTGACCCACCTCCTTACTCACTCAGTTGCTAGGACATCAGCCCCTGTTCTCAACACTCACCAAGGATTGGCCAGCCTGGCTCCTGCCTGAGCCCCAGAGGGCTGCTGGGAATCCCACACTGGGGGTTGCTAAAGTTAAGGACGCACGATCAGGACAAGTGTGGGGCCATAAGAGCATGGGGACTTGCCTCCTGAGAACCCCAAACTCTCAGAGCAGGGCAGCAGAACCCCCTGGGAAGAGGGGTTGGGTGTAGCAGGGAGGGGTGGAGCCCTGAGCCCCCTTCTCGCTGCCTCTGACTCCCCAGGGCTCTCTGTGCGGTCTCGTCCTTCCCCTGGGCCCAGGCCGCCTGGAGCCCCTCTCCCTCCAGCCTCCCTGTGCTCGGCGCATCCAAGCCACCTCCCCATCTTCCAGCCCGGCTGTGTGTCCACAGCTACCTCATTAATCTGCATTTCACAGTCCAGAGAACCAAGAAAAAAACTCAAGCAACTCAGTTTGTGTTTTCAGTGTGATGTCAGGTGCCCTGTGCTGGTCTGGGGGCTGGGAAGTCCCCAGGCTCCCCAGCAGAGGCGGGGTCTCGTGGTGTTCTTTCGGCAGGGGCTTGGGCTCAGCAGGCAGCTGACTGGGAGCTGGGCGATCTCCATGAACTGGAGGTCAGTGGTCATTTTTGCCTGTAGCTCTCTCACCAGCTCACTGGGTGACGAGGGTGCGTCCCTTCCTTTCTCCATAAATCGCAATGCCACTTGCCACACACCTGCTCTGTGTCCTGCCCACAGATTTCACTGCTGAATTCCCAGGAGGGAGGCACTGTCATTAACTCCTCTTAAAGTTGGGAAAGCCAAGGGCACAGAGGGGTTGAGCCACCTGCCCGAGGTCACACAGCTGGTAGAGCCGGAATCCGAACCCTGTCGGTCCGGCTTCAGCAACCCTTGCTCTTAACCATGTTCTGCTTCCTCTGAGACTCTCAGCTCTTGAGTGTCAGAGAGCTAAAGTTGTAGCAGGATCCTCGCGGCAGCCGCTGCTCCCTGATTCAATGACACAGGGGCCCTACGGGAGCTTTGGAAGATTCCTGCCCTCACCTTTCATGTGCCCGTGGGGACTGTCACGAGCCCGTGGGGACGGTGTGCCACCTGCGCCTTCCAGCCTCCCAGAGACTTCAAGGACAAAGGAGCAAAGGGCAGATGAGGCCAGGGAGGGCGTTTGTTCTGGTGGCTCCAACAGGGCTCTGGCCAGGCCGGCGAAGGCCCTGCAGGCGCTCTGCCTGTCCCTAGCCTTTGCTCTGTCCCAAGGGCTCTACGGGACACTGGCTTCTGGGCAGGGAAGAACCTCTGGGTTTCTTCTTCTGCTGACTTCAAGGACTGTGGCGCTCAGGGGCTCCCCACAGACCAGGAAATCTACCGATCTGGTTGGTTGCCTTGGGTGTGTCCCAGAGCCCTGCCGCTGTTGCAGCAAATCCCTGGAAACCGCACGCGCCCCGGCCGTGGGTGCATCAGGAGCAGGGACTCCCCAGTCGACCACTGATTGCAGGGGAGGGTGAGCGCGTGGCTGCCTCCAGTTGGGAGCCCCCCCATTTCTCGTGCAAACAAGCACCTGGCTGCGGGCAGCCCTGAGTCTGCCGGGGTGGCTCGGGTCCACCTGGGGCGGGCAGGAAATGTCAAGTGGGCTCTGGCAGCAGGTGATGGCCTCTAGCAGTTTCCAGGGCTTCCGTGCCAGGAGACAGGGCAGGGGACATGTCCCTGCCAGGAAGCCACCTTGCCCTGCTGCTCTCCGCCCCAGGCCTTCTCTGGCCACTGCGATCCCTTGGCCACAATGGCCACGCCATGTGGCCCTCCCAGGAGGTGCCCTAAGTGCAGGCATTGACCAACAAGCCCTTGGGCTAATTGGATATGGGGGTGCCTCGGGAGGGGCCCGGGCACGTGCACGGCGGCCAAGTCAGAAGGGCCATTGTGGGGAGGCTGTTGTTGATAAGTGGGTGCAGCCCAGGGCGGATCAGCCAGCTGGACGGAGCAAATTGTTATTTACAGCTTCTGAGCTTTTAAAAGGAGCGCTTCCTCGGAACCAGCCCCGACTCCACAGCTGCTGCGCCATGAGGGCCCTGGGGACGCTGGTGGCCCTGCTGCTCCTGGGCTCCCAGGCCCACAGTGAGCCCGAGTGGACCTACTCAGGTAAGCCCCGGCCCCCACAGCCCGGCCCGTCCTCCACTCAGTCCTCCGGGGTCTGTTCAGGGCGGCTCCCACCGGACCGTTCCCCACAGCTCAGGGTGCGTGGAGACCACACTGGACATCGGCTGCATTTGGGAAGAGAAGCAGCTACACCCCCCACGCCCCCAGCTCTCGACAGAAAACCTTCCCACTCACCGTGCTAGCTGGTGGCAGAGCCCACTTGCTGCTCCCCGTGGTGAGACTGTTCGTGGTTTGCCTAAGTGGAAGAGAAATGATTCGAAAGGATTCCTGTAGGCACACAGAGGGTGCCGTGGGGTCAGTGAGAGTGTCCTTCTTAGAAACTCCATGGCGGGCACTTTACCCACAGCAACCTGACCCGATCCCAGCTCCGAGGCTGCCACACCAGACTTAAAATGTGGGACTTACAATCCTGGCTTGTAGCACAAGCTCTGGCCCACATGTGAGTCCAAGAGAGGACACCCGTGTCTGTGGGCTTGTGGACACTGAGCACCTCTTTTGGGTGGCAGTGTCTTCCTCCTCTTCTGCACTGGACCAGGCAAAGGGACCCAAAGAGAGGCTCATGGCCACTGGCTGGTGCAGGGACAGGCGCCACCGCGATCTTGCACCTACTTTCTGAACCAAATGCCCCAGCCTCAGACGTCCAGGGAAGAAGCATACATTTAGGGTCAGTGGCACATCCTGTTAAGTCCAAGGTCATGGGGTTTGGGACCTTCTGGGAGAGCTCAGACAGTCCAGCCAGGGAAAGCCATCACTAACCAGCCTGCTCAGTCTCCGGTACCTGCCCCGGCTGCTTCGGGGCTGCACGTGGCCCCTGGGTACTGGGAGTGGGTCCCAGGTCAGCAAAGAGAGAATTCGAATAGTAATGCTCCCGTCCCCCCAGGAGCCAGGGCAGCCTCTGAGACCGTGGGCTCCTGGAGAACCAGTGGACGCCCGGGAGAACTTGGGTGTAGTCTTTGCAAATCCTTCTGGGAAGACCTGGGAGCTGTCCCACCATGGACAGGTCCCTGGGTCACAGCACTGGGGTCTCAGAAGGGGCTGTGCTGGGAGCCTCTTGGCCTCCGTCTTGGGGTCCTGCCTCCAGGACAGCATTGAATATTGGTTTGAACAGCGAAGAACAGAGAGAGAAAGATTTGAATCACAAAGCAAGAGGCCGTGAGAGGCCCGAGTACACTCTCCTTTCTGAAAACAGGCTTTTCGTCCACCGTGGAGTGGGCACAAAGGGGAAGCCGAGGTCGGCTCCTCCGGTGCAAGTGGGCGAACCCGAGACGCACAGGTGTTTGTGTGCCTGTCACAGGGAGATGAGGAAAAGAGCCACGTGTGAAAGACCTGCACCACTTTCCAAGCACCAAGCTGGGTTGCCAGCCTGGGCCAGTGGTTGCAGAGGGTAGAAGTTAGCACCGAAGTCTGTCCCCAGCACCAGGGTCCTTGGAGTTTGGCCTCTTCCTGAAGCCCTGCTCCTGTTTTCCAGAAGGTGGCTGCTATGGGTTTCCTACTTGGCAGGCCCTGGCCTCCAGCCTGGTCAGGTGCCCACAGAGGGGGCTTGGTCGGGCAGCCGCTTGACCTGTAGCCCACTTTCTCCTGTGCAGAGGGGGCGCTGGAAGAGGAGTCCTGGCCCCTGGAGTACCCGGCCTGCGGCGGGCACAGACAGTCGCCCATCAACCTGCAGAGGAAGAAGGTGCAGTACAACCCCTCCCTGCAGGTGCTGGAGCTGAAGGGCTACGACACCCCCACGGGCGAGTTCTCCATGATCAACAATGGCCACACAGGTAAGGGTGCAGGTGCGCCGTGCACAGGCAGCCCGGCAGACCACAGAGGAGGCAGGTGCCCTGCACAGGGACCCAGAGGAGGCAGATGCCGTGCACAGGGACCCAGAGGAGGCAGATGCCAGGGATGCATGTGCTTTTTTTTTTTTTTTTTTCAGGGTTAAAAAAGGGCTTGTTTAATTAAATACAAGGGGGCAGGCGGGTAGGAGGGGCCATCCACAGAAAGCGCCAGTCCCTGGGGCCCCTCCCCGCCCACCCCACCGCTAAATGGCTGCAACCAGGTTCGGGCGCTGGGGGGCGCACGCGCCTCCAGGCCCGTGGACAGCACAGCCCGGCCCTGGGCACCGCCAGGGCTGGGAGCCGCCCACTCCCCCACCCCCACGGACTAAGGCATACCACTCCTGCTGCCGGAGACAGGAGGGCTCGGCCCACGCGGGGACCACGCGGCCCCCAGTGGGCACTGCAGGCTGGGCGGGGGCCCCCGGACACACCAGCACCCTCCAGTCGGGACACACGGAGGTTCCGGACCAGTGGGGGGGAGCACGGGGGTGGGCCCTGGGGCAGGGGACCCGGGGCCCCTCCCACCGCAAGGTCCTCCATCCATCCAGAAATCCAAGCCTCCCCAGCTGGGATCAGAGACCCCTCCCCACACACACACACAGCCCCAGAGCCAGCCTGGCAGCTGGAGGCTTGTGCTTGTGCGGAGGCCGGGAGGCTGCGGGCGCCTTCATCCTCATTGTCCCTCGTGGAGCCCCCTCTGCCCTGGCTGCAGGAAGTCCACCCCCAGGCAGCTGAGAAGCCGCACTCCCAACCTCTTTTCTGAACATCTGGACGCTGGCCTCCCTTGGTTTTATACTGAGTCTGATTAAAGCAAAGTGCCCGAAAGTAGGCCCAGGCGTTCTCAAGGTTTCTTTCTTCTTTCAGGATTTATTTATTTGAAAGGCAGGAGAGGGGAAGGGGAGAGAGAGAGAGAGAGAGAGAGAGTTTACTCCCCAAATGCTGCAACTACCAGGGCTGGGTCAGGCCCAAGCCAGCGGACGGGAGCTCCAATGCGGCTCTCCCAGAGCGTAGCGTGGGCCCAAGTCCTTGGCCATCACGCGCTGCCCTCCAGGGGCTATACTCATGACATGGGCTGTGGCTTTTTCAGTAAGCTTCCAGCACATTCAGGAATTCTAAGGAATGAAAAAACTGTTATGCAAATTTCAAATCTAAAAAGTTTTGATGAAATCCAAACTTAACAATAGTTGGTGTGATATAATTAAACATTGGCTAATTTTGATTTTGCAAAGTTCTTTTATATCTTGGAACATATGGGGGTCTCTCAAAAAGTTTGTGGAAAATCAACTTAATGTTGATTTAATGTTTGAAATCCATGCCTAGAGGGGATATTTAAAAAGTTCATGGGAAATGTGTACTATGAAAAGGCCAGGGCCCGGCATCCTGTAGTTGGTAAAGCTGCCACCACGAAGCCGGCATCCCATATGGCTGTCTGCATAGCTTTGCTTTTCCCAGAATATCCCATAATCGGAATGATACAGTATGTAGCCTTTTTAGATTGGGTTTCTTTATTGTAGCATGCGTTTAACTTCCCTCTGTGTCTTATTGCGACCACACAGCTCGTTTCTTTTTAGCAGTGAACCCTATCCCACAGTTGGGAAGTACTGTGGATTGTTTATTCACTCACCTACTGGAGTACAGCCGCTTGTTTCCGAATTTTCCAAAGCAGCTGTGAGGTCTGTGTGCAGGTTTCTGTGTGGACAGAAGTCTTCAACTCCTGGGAGCAGACACGGAGGGGTGTCTGTGCTGGATCGTATACTGCGATGCTTAGTTTCGTCAAAAGCCAGCCAGCTGTGTGCCAAGTGGCTGGACCGGTGCCCATCCACATGGGCAGTGGTCGAGAATTCCTGTCACTCCACGCCCTCGCTGACGTTCGGTGTTGTGAGCATCTGGGGTCTCGGCCCTTCTAATGGGCTCACTGAGATGTGTGATGTCCTCACGACGCGTGACGTGACCTTGACCATCCCTGCCTGTGCTTATCTGCCTTGTAGCTTCTTTGACAGGCGTCTGAACAGGTTTCTTTCCACTCTTCAGTGGCTGTTGAGTTTTAGGGGTTCTTTGTGTATCTGGGTAACAGTGCTTTGTGAGACGTGTTGTTTGCAAATATATCTTCCTCACCTGCCGCTCATCTCCTTGTTCTCTGGCCGGTGCCATTGGAAGAATGGGTTTTAATTTTAATGAAGTCCAGCTTAAGCGTCGTTTCCTTCATTGATTGGTGTAAACAGTTGTCACCAGTGGCTGGCATTGTGGTGGTGTGGGTAAACCCGCTGCCTCTGACGCCAGCATCCCATCCGAGCCCAGGTTTCAAGCCCAGCTGCTCCACTTCTCACCAGTTCCCCGCTAATGCGCCTAGGAAAGCAGCAGAAGATGGCGCAAGTGCCTGGGCTCCTGCGCCCGTGTGGGAGACCAGGATGGAGCTCCAGGCTCCCGGCTTTGGCCTGGCCTGCTTTCACCGTTGCAGCCATTTGAGGAGTGAAGGAATGGATGGAAGGTCTCTCTCACCCCACCCATCTCTCTGCTCTCCCTGTCACTCTGCCTTTCAAATAAATAAAAATAAACCCAGGACGTCACCAGCAGGGTGAGCGTGTTGCACAGGGGTTAAATTGCTTCTGGGGACGCCTGCACCCCACGTCAGAATGAGTGTTGGAGTTTTGTCTACTCCACTTCCCAGCCAGCTTCGTGCTAACGCACATCCTGGGAGAGAACAGGGGGTGGTTCAAGTGGTGGGGTCCCTGCCCCCCCGGGGGAGACCTGGATTGAGTTCTTGGCTCTTGACTTCTGCCTGTCTTAGTCCTGGCTGTTGCAGACGTTTGGGGAGTGAACTAGCAGATGGAAGACCTCTGTCCGTCTCTGTCCCTCTGTCTTTTTTTTTTCTTTTTTTCTTTTCTTTTTTTTTATTTTTTGACAGGCAGAGTGGACAGTGAGAGAGAGAGACAGAGAAAGGTCTTCCTTTGCCGTTGGTTCACCCTCCCAATGGCCGCCGCCTTTGCCGTTGGTTCACCCTCCGATGGCAGGAGCCAGGAGGCTGCAGCCGGTGCACCGCGCTCATGGGGTGCAGGGCCCAAGCACTTGGGCCATCCTCCACTGCACTCCCTGGCCACAGCAGAGAGCTGGCCTGGAAGAGGGGCAACCGGGAGAGAATCCGGCGCCCCAACCGGGACTAGAACCCGGTGTGCCGGCGCCGCAAGGCGGAGGATTAGCCTAGTGAGCCGCGGCGCCGGCCTGTCCCTCTGTCTTTTCAACGGAACAGGGAAAGCACGTCATCAGCACACTCCAGATCATCTAATTCTCCCCAGGAAGTTTCATGATTCGAATTCTACGTTTAGGACTGTGAACTATTTTGAGTCGGCTCTTGGGACGGTTGTAAAATCTGCATCAAGATTCATTTGTTTCCATGTGGCTGTCCAGGAGAGCCAACCCCGTTTGTTGAAAAGAACCTCTTTTTTCTATTGTGTTGCCTTTGCTCTTTTGTCAAAGATCAGGTGACTGTATTTATGAGGGTCTATTTCTGGGCTCTCTGTTCCACTGAACTGTTTACCTATTCTCTTCCTAATACCACGCTGTCTCAATTCCTGCAGCTTTGTAGGAAGGCTCCAAGTTGGGTAGTGTCCGCCCTCCAACTTTGTCTTCTCTTTTAATGTTTGTTGGCTATTCTGGATCCTTCCCTTTCTCCATATAAACTTCAGAACCGATTTGTTGATGTCCAGCAATGTCCATGAACATGGAATAATTCTCTTTGATTTCTTTGATTAGATTTTATAGTCTTTCTCATATAGATCTTATTCGTATTTCTTTAGATTTGTACCTATGTATTTCATTTTTTGATTGCTAACGTAAGTAGTATTGTGTTTTTAGTTTCAAATGCCATTATGTATATATAAATAATAAGCTCTCCCATTTAAAATTTTTTGCTTTTTGTTTTAGAGAGGCAAAGTGAAAGTGAGCAAGCCCTGTATTTCAGTATTGGATTCAACAGATATAAAATTACATTTCACTACAAGGAAAATGAAATCAGAAACATACTTGGATGTCAAGACAAAGTCAAATTCCCACACATTTTTTAAAAGATTTATTTATTCGAGAGACAGAGTTATAGACAGAGAGATAAAGAGATAGAGAGAGAGATAGAGAAGATGGCCCGCTCCCCAGATGGCTGCAACAGCTGGAGCTGAGCTGATCTGAAGCCAGGAGCCAGGAGCTTCTTCAGGTCTCCCATGTGGGTGCAGGGGCCCAAGGACTTGGGGCATCTTCCTCTGCCTTCCCAGGCCATAGCAGAGAGCTGGATTGGAAGAGGAGCAGCCAGGACATGAACAGGTGCCCATATGGGATGGTGGTGCTGCAAGTGAGGGTTAACCTCCTATGCTACAGCACCCCCCTTTTTATAGACAATGTATTTATATATTTGAAAGGCAGAGTGACAGAGAGAGAGAGAGAGAGAGAAATCTTCCATTTACTGGCTCACTCTCCAGATGGCTGCACATGGCCACAATGGCCGGGGTGGGCCAGGTTGAAGCCAGGAGCCTGGAACTCCATCCAGGTCTCCCATGTAGGTGACATGGACCAAAGCACTTGGACCATCTTCTGCATTAGCAGGGAGATGGACTGGGAGTGGAGCAGCCAGGACTTGAACTGGTGTCCGTATGGGATGCAGGTGTCACCGCAGACTGCAGCTTAACCTGCTGCATTGCAACGCCAGCCCCGTATTCCTTTTTCTTTTTTTTTTAAACCTCAGCACGTTCTCCCCCCTTTTTTTTTAAGATTTATTTTATTTATTTGAAAGATAGAATTACAGAGAGAAATAGAGACAGAGAGAGAGGTTTTCCATCCGCTGGTTCACTCCCCAAGTGGCTGCAACAGTCAGAGCTGGGCTGATCTGAAGCCAGGAGCCAGGAGCTCCTTCCAGGTCTCCCACGCGAGTGCAGGGGTCCAAGAACTTGGGCCATCTTCTACTGCTCTCCCAGGCCATAGCAGAGAGCTGGATCGGAAGTGGAGCAGCCAGGACTCAAATTGGTGCCCATATGGGATGCCGGCACTGCAGGTGGCAGCTTTAACCCGCTACGGCATGGTGCCGGCCCCCCACCCTACTCTTTTAAAAAAACTCTCATTTTGAAATGGCTTTAGACTAGAAAAGTTGTAGAAATAGTGCAGAGAGTCCCACACACTCTTCTACTTCTGCTAGCATTTCTGTTGTGTAACCACAGTCCTACTGTGAGAGACTTCGGAAGCTGACATTGAAACCGGGCCTCATTTAGTGACACTGCTTTCCCACTGCCATCCTCCCCGGGGACCAGGGTCTAGCCCAGGACCCCACATTGCGTCCGGCCATCATGTCTCCTTGGTCTCCTCCAGTCGATGGCTCTCCAGTCCTCCCACGTTCCTGGCCTTGACACTTTGCTGGTTACTTCTGGCGCACAGCCAGTGCTGGAATCCATGATTTTTCCTGCTCTCCTGAGCAATGGGCTAACGTGGTTTCCCAAGGAGGGGAGCGAGCTCCTCTGGAATCGGCATCCACTTTCGGAATCTAGGAAGTTCAGCAGGTGGATGTGGGGGTGCGGATATTTCGGCCTCGCCTTCTTAGAAGCACCAGGACAAGCTCCGAATCGTGGCCCTCTACTGCCTGTGTGGACCTGCCCGCGGCAGAATGGAGACGGCCAGTCTCCTGGGAGCTGTGTTTTGGGGAAAGGTAATTGTCAGGCGCTCTCTCACTGCCCCTGCGGTGCTAACTGTTCATTTAGGGCCCGCTCTCGGCACAGCCGACTCCGTTCCCCTCCTTTGAAAGCCTCTTCTGTGTTTTTCTTGCGTGTTGATTTGGGGCTGGCCACATTTCCAGCCCTAAAAGTGCAAAGCACCCGTTCTGTCACGGACGGGCCCCTTAAATGCTTTGAGGTGGGGTTCCCGCATGACAGCGCATCGCGTTGGGAGTTTAATCATAGCTCCCGCTCCCTGGGGCAATCGGAGGGGAAGGGGGCGTGTCTGTACAGGCACACCCGACCCCTAGTGTGTGCTCTTTGCGGAAAGCCACTCGTTGTCATGACTTCAAACAGGATGCTGCTGCCCCGGGCAGGCACTGCCTGTCCCTTCCACATCCCAAGCTCTGTCTCCCAGACATTTTCCTTCGTCACTGCCTGCTGTCACCACCCATTTCTCCTTTAGGCCCCAAGGCTTGAGCCGCTGACATGCAGGGGTCTGACCGCAGGTGTCTGCAGGGCAGCAGGCAGAGGAGGTGGGAGGAACACGCGTTTCTCCAGCAGCCAGGGCCTGACATGATGATCACAGTCCAATTAAACCCCAGACAGGCATTTGCCGTTCCTGACTTGCTGTGGAGTTTGGGCTCTTGTCTTTTTTTGTTTGTTTGTTTGAAAGGCAGAGAGAGAGAGAGAGAGAATGAGACAGAGAGAGATTTTCCATTTACTGGTTCACTCTCCAAAGGTCTATAACAGCCAGGGCTGGGCCAGGGCTGGGCCAGGAGCCTGGAACTCCGTCTGGGCGGGAAGTTGGAATGGAGAGCAGAGGCAGGACTTGAACCCAGGCTCTCGATACAGGGTTTGGCGGCATCTTAACCAGTTCCCCAAGCGTCTACCCTAGTGTCTGAAGACACTAGAGTCCTGTCCTGTTGCCTGAGATGGGGGTGTAGACGCTCCGTGCTCAGCCATTCCGCCCCGATTGTTGAACTGTGTGACGTGGGCAAGCCTTCTGCCGCCCTGGGCCAGCTTCCTGCTCCTAAAACAGATGCGTGGAAGCCCAGCAGTGAGGCTCCCTCCCATGTGGGCGGAGCTGGCTGTTTGCTGTTTCTAGACGGCTACCTGGGGCGAGGATCGTGACCATGTCAGAGAGGAGGCAGCGCCTCAACTTGGCCTAGCCAACAGTACTCAGATATCCCAGGTTTTATCCTTATATCACAGGCAAGTTTTAAACTTAACCAGAGATGAAGGGTGGAATTCTGGTTTCCATAGCCACTGGCCTTGCTCTTCCCTAGGGCCAGTAACCTGGACTTGCCGCTGCATGGCTGGCCCTGACCTGCTGATTCTGGGCGGGAAGATAGTGCCGTCGGAGCGACACCTGCCCAGCCTGGCTCACTCAGAGCCCGGCCCCCATCTTGACCTCGTTCTGTGGCCTGTGTGCCAGAGCCTCTTTTCTAGGGTGACCCTGTTAATGGCACTCCAAGCTGTCTGCAGTCCTGGCTGGCCCTGGGTGCAGGCAGGGGGAGGTGGCCAGGGCATTTGTCTGCCTGTCTGTCTGACGCATCCTGCTTCTCGCCCTGCATTGTCTCTTCCAGTGCAGGTCAGCCTGCCCCCGACCATGCGCATGACGACGTCCGATGGCACTGAGTACATAGCCCTGCAGATGCACTACCACTGGGGCGGTGCCTCCTCCGAGGTCAGCGGCTCGGAGCACACCGTGGATGGGATCAGGCGTGTCATCGAGGTACCTGAGGTCCCTAGCGGCTCATCTTTCCTTTGGACGCCACAGTCACGTTTCTTATTAAAGCAGCCAGAAAGACTGGGCAGTGACGGTTACACGGCCCCGGGGTTGAGCGTGCTCTTGTTCATCCAACAGCTACTGATGGGACAGCCATCCGCGCAGGGAGCACAGGCGGGGTCCCTCTCCCTGCCCCGCTGGAAGGCGGGAAGGCGTTCGCAGCGCACAGCGAGGGAAGCCCTCCTTTATCTCAGCTGACTTTCCATGTGTCACGTTTCCTGGGCTCCTTAGGATGTTAGCATGACTGTAGCTTTACAATGGCCTCCTGGGGCAAGGGGGCTCATCCCCCACTCTCCCCCATCCCCCCAGTGCCCAGACACTTCAGGAGAACCCAGTATCCTCAGGTGGTCCCTCCCGTCTCTGTCCACGTGCCTGCTCGCAGGGAGTGGATGAGGGAAATGCCCTTGATGGCCCACGCTGTTGGTATGGAATGGCCTTTCCTTCCGCCTTCTCTGACAATCTTAAGCATTTGAAGTCTGTAGGAAATGACCTTGACTTATCCTGTTTTGTCCTCACAGGTTCACGTGGTTCACTACAACTCCAAGTATGAGAGCTATGATGTGGCCAAAGATGCATCAGATGGTTTGGCCGTCCTGGCTGCCTTCATTGAGGTGTGTGTGTGTGAAGGTGTAGACTGACGTCCAAGGAAGGTGCTGGGTCTACACGAAGGGTCTTTCTCGTTAGCCCACTTCTTCCTTTCCTGAGCTCACAGTTCTTGGAAAGCCTGGCTTGAGGGTGGAGGGGCCCTTCTTGCAGGCCCTGCTCATAGCCGCGTGCTCCTGTTACGGCAGTCTCAGGGACCTGGGATAACTGGGACAAGATGACTTAAAAGATCCCGAATCACTTAGCCGGCGCCGCGGCTCAATAGGCTAATCCTCCGCCTAGCGGTGCAGGCACACCGGGTTCTAGTCCCGGTCGGGGCGCCGGATTCTGTCCCGGTTGCCCCTCTTCCAGGCCAGCTCTCTGCTGTGGCCCGGGAGTGCAGTGGAGGATGGCCCAAGTGCTTGGGCCCTGCACCCCATGGGAGACCAGGAGAAGCACCTGGCTCCTGCCTTTAGATAGGCGTGGTGCGCCGCCGTGGCAGTCATTGGAGGGTGAACCAACGGCAAAAGGAAGATCTTTCTCTCTCTCTCTCACTGTCCACTCTGCCTGTAAAAAATATATATATATATAGATCCCGAATCACAGAAAGGTTGATGGGACACAACTTCTCTGAGAGGCGAAGGGCAAAAGGCAGCCTCAGCCAGACACACAAAGGCAGCGTCTTTGTGTTTCTAAGAAAGACAAAGGGAGCCGTGAGGGGGGCCTCCCGCAGTGCAGAGCTGCAGAGCACCTGCCCAGCCTGCATGTGGAGCCAGCAGACTAGGAGGCGTCACAGCTGGGACCGCACGAGGAGCGAAAGATATGGCAACAATGGCCCAAACAGCAGAGAAACAGAAACTAGAAATGTGCCACAGGGAGAGTCTAGAGTGGAAAAGTACAACAAATAAGACAAAAAGAGTCCTAGATGAGCACAACACAGATCTGAGACAGCAGAAAGAGTCCATGCATCTGACGACGGAGCAAAGAAAGCATCCGATCTGAAGAGAGAGGAAACGATGGAAGGAAAAGGAACAGACTCAAAGGGCAAGATTAACGCATCAACAAGGCAGTCCTTCCTGGGAGTCCCAGAGGGGAGAGGAGAAAGTGGCAGAACGAGTGTTTGAAGAAGCAGTAGCCAAAGTTTTCTCAGGTTTGACGAAAAACATTCGTTCACTAACCCAAGGAACCCCAATGTGACAAACACCTAAACACACAGGAATCAACTGATGGCAGCAACAGGAGAAAGAAATTCATTTTATGAAGGGGACGACAGTACATGTATGTGGACATGCGAGCAGGTGACAGAGCGTTCCCGGCAGACTCCCCAGTCGTCAGAAGGCAAGGGGTGACTGTCAGCTAAGAATTCTACACCTGCCCAAGCCATCCTTCAGAAACGGAAGTGAAATGGACATTATTAGATAAACGAGAACCAAGGTAGCTGCTAGAAGACTCGTCTCATGGGAATGTTAAAGGAAGCCGACTTCCGGCTGGCAGGACGTGCCACCAGGCAGCAACCCAGATAGAAGTGAGAAGTGCTGGAAATGATACATCCATAGTGTGAGCGAACAGAAAAGACTGGACGCCTCTGAACACGCCAGGTTAGCGCCAGGGAGTGGGCATTTAGCCTCATGGCCCACCCCTCTGTCTCCCCCTCCCTCTCCCTCTGTCTCTCTGCTTCTCAAATAAAACATTCTAAAGGCTTTAAAATGTATATACATATTTTTCATCGTTTAATTTTTTGGGGAACACGTAACAGCATTTAATAATTAATCATAGGCCGGTGCCGCGGCTCACTAGGTTAATCCTCCTCCTTACGGCACCGGCACACCGGGTTCTAGTCCCAGTCGGGGCGCCGGATTCTGTCCCGGTTGCCTCTCTTCCAGGCCAGCTCTCTGCTATGGCCCGGGAGTGCAGTGGAGGATGGCCCAAGTGCTTGGGCCCTGCACCCCATGGGAGACCAGGAGAAGCACCTGGCTCCTGCCTTCGGATCAGCGCCGTGTGCCGGCTGCAGCGCGCCGGCTGTGGCGGCCATTGGAGGGTGAACCAACGGCAAAGGAAGACCTTTCTCTCTGTCTCTCTCTCTCACTGTTCACTCTGCCTGTCAAAAAAAAAAATAATAATAATTAATCATGGATTTCTGGGGTATATGTGTATGTAATTTATGTGACAATGAAAGGAGGGAAGGAGAGAAGTGGAACTGTACTGCAAAGTGGCTGGTGAGCTGAAATAAGTCAGCATTCACCTGATGCGCGTTGCGACGGAGTTGTACATCGTGAGCACTGGAGCAACCACGAGGAAAATACTTACAAATAGTCACGTGGTGCCCTGCAAGTGGGCCTGAGGAATGCGAAGGACGGGAGATGCTCAGGAAACAAGCAACAGTGACTGCCCACAGGTCAGGAAGGCCGCGATCTGCACAGGGGACTGAAGAGACCCACTGAAAACAGAGCTTTGCCAGCTTCTCAAAGTCAGGTTCATACAAAGAGGCCGATCCGGCCAGGTGGCGGCGTGGGGAGGGGAGACTTTTACCTTGGACAAAGGGGGAAGGAGGGAGCCTCGAGGTGGGGCCTCCCGCAACACAGAGCACCTGCCTGGGGCTGGCACTGCCCAGGACAAGCGCCTGGGGCCTTTTTTTTTAAGCAATGTCTTTGTCCACTCCTGAGAGCCCTTTCCCTGGGAGCTGCCACATGCTTCAGACAGGGTCTCCTTCACGATCCTGGCCAGCCCGGGCAGTCGACGACAATGAGCAGCTTGAGGGTCCCCTCCCGCCACCGCTGGGGGTTGGGCTGCCCCGCTGGCTCTCTGGACAGTGCCCGATCAGCTGGCAGCCAAACAGCTGGTGCAGGCAGTGGAGCGGGCGCTGGGAGTCTCACTCACTGCTGTGTCTCTTCTGCAGATCAATGATTATGCTGAAAACACCTATTACAGCCAGTTAATTTCTCAGTTGGCCAACATCAGGTATCCAGGTAAGCGAAGCCAGTAGCCAGGAAGGGGAGAAAAATGTCAAGTGCAGGGTGTGACTGGGGATGGACCGGAGGGGGTGTTGGTGGGGAGGGTCTACAACAAGCCCTGCCCTGGAGCCCACCCCTCGATGTGTGCTTGCACCTGTATCTACTTGGCTTTATTTATTTATTTAAGATTTACTTATTTATTTATTTTTTAAAGATTTATTTGAGGCCGGCACCGAGGCTCACTAGGCTAATCCTCTGCCTTGCGGCGCCGGCACACCGGGTTCTAGTCCCGGTCGGGGCGCCGGATTCTGTCCCGGTTGCCCCTCTTCCAGGCCAGCTCTCTGCTGTGGCCAGGGAGTCAGTGGAGGATGGCCCAGGTGCTTGGGCCCTGCACCCCATGGGAGACCAGGATAAGTATCTGGCTCCTGCCATCGGATCAGTGCGGTGCGCCGGCTGCAGCACGCTGGCCGTGGCAGCCATTGGAGGGTGAATCAACGGCAAAGGAAGACCTTTCTCTCTCTCTCTCTCTCACTGTCCACTCTGCCTGTCAAAAAAAAAAAAAAAGATTTATTTGAAAGTCAGAGTTACACAGAGAGAGAAGGAGAATCTAGAGAGAGAGAGAAAGAGAGAGAGAGAGAGAGAGAGAGAAAGGTCTTCCATCTGCTGGTTTACTCCCCAGTTGGCTGCAACAGCCGGAGCTAAGCTCATTCAAAGCCAGGAACCACAAGCTTCTTCCGAGTCTCCCATGCGGGTGCAGGGCCCAAGGACCTGGGCCATCCTCCACTGCTTTCCCAGGCCACAGCAGAGAGCTGGATCAGAAGTGGAGCAGCTGGGACTCGAACCGGCGCCCATATGGGATGCCAGCACTGCAGGCGGCGGTTTTATCCTCTAGGCCACAGTGCCGGCCCCTACTTATTTATTTTGAAGCTCAGAGTTACAAAGAGAAAGAGAGAGAGAGAGAGAGAGAGAGAGAGGGAGAATCTTTCATCTGCTGATTCACTCCCTGGATGGCCACAATGGCAGAGCTGGGCCAGGTTGAAGCCAGGAGCCAGGAGCTTCATCTGGGTCTTCCACAGGGAGCTGGATAGGAAGTGGAGCAGCCGGGACTCAAACAGGAGCCCGTATGGGATGCTGGGGTCGCAGGTGGCGGCTTTGCCTGTTAAGCCGCAGAGCCGACCCCTTTACCTGGCGTTACAGTCCATAGACCACCTCATGCAAATACCTTCAGGGCTCTTTGCCTCTCCTTCCTTCTACAAACTCACCTGGCAGAGCCCCAGACCACCTCTCACCCAGATCCCGTACCACACAGCTGGCTGAAGGCGCTGGACAGAAGCCCCTAGACGTCTACGAGCAGGCACCAGCGCTGTCCAGAAATCCTAGAGCAGCACTCTGGGCATTCTCCTAAGTTATGGCGTCCCCACTTACCCTCCCTCCTGCCCTGCCCTGGAGCTGATGCCCGCACTCACCCTGCCATGCACCTGGTCACCCATGCACCTGCCCTCCTCAAATGCAAACACAGACGTCCCGCGACTCCACCCCTCCCCCCACTTCCGCCCTGGCCCTCAGCTCCCCCGAAAGAGTTGTCCTCAGTCCTGTTCTTGCCCACCCGACCCTAAGCGGTCCTCAGCCCCAGGCTCTGCTGAGGTCAGCACTCCTGTCGTCAGGACTACTGGCCTTTTTTCTCCTCCTCTCTTGATTGACCTTGACCTTGACTTTCAATCGGCCACACCCACTCTGCTGCCCCAGCTCTGCTCACTTCTGCCTCGGCTCCTGCACTGTGTGTGGAGGACGCCACGACTCTGTCCTCTCTTGGGGGCCTCATCCGGTCCCTTAGCCTCAGTGCTCTCCAGGCTGTGCCCTGCACAATCTGTATCTCATCGTCCATGCAGTGGGGACATCAAACAGGACTGGGGAGGCAGAGTGGACACAAGAACTGCCTGGCTAATTTACTGCCCGTGAACCCAGCCAGCAGGAGAGACAGGCTGATAGCGGCTAAGGGGTTCCCTTGAATTCCCTGGTCTCAGGGGCTCACTCTCTGCCACCGGCCCTGACACATTTCCTCCTCCAAGTTAGCAAATTCCACCTCCGATCAACACTGCCCCCAACACCAGCCTCCCTCTCCAATGTCCAGATTCCCTTATTTAACCTGTACTTGACCTTGCCACGAGGATCCAAAACTTAAGTCAAAACAACTCTGTGCCCCTGCCGCCCTCTGCACCCGTCCTTAAGCAAAGTGTCTGGGGGATAAAGCAAAGCCCAGCTCAATCCCACGCTGCTTTGGTGGCTCCCGCCGAGCTCAGGTGCTCGGCGTTCTTAATGCAGGCCAGGGCGCAGCCGTTGTGAGGCTGCAGACACCCTGGGGAAGGGCCCGGCACCCACCAGACCCCAGCTTCACTCGGATTCTGCTTTTCTGTGTTTGAAGATTTGTTTTATTTATTTGAAAGGAGGGAGAGGGGAGGGGAGAGAGAGAGAGAGAGAGAGAGAGAGAGAGAGAGGGAGAGAGAGATCTTCCATCCCTCTTTTACTCTCTGGATGGCTGCAACAGCGGGGACTGGCCAGGCTGAAGTCAGGAGCCAGGAACTCCATCTGGGTCCCTTTCACCGGCGGCAGGGACCATCACCTGCTGCTTCCCGGGTGCAGTAGCAGGAAGCTGGGTGGGAAGTGGGGCAGCTGGGACCCAAACCAGTGCTCTGATGTGAGATGGCATGTCAGCGTCACAGGTGGTGGCTTGACCCAGTGCACCACCACGCCAGCCCCCGATGTTGCTTTCCTCACCTCCATTCGCTCACTTCTCAATGGGGCCAGACCAAGGGCCTCACCCAGAAGCCTCAGGGTGCATCGTTCCATCCCTTTACCTCTGTTCTAGCAATGCAGTGGTGGCGAGTTACACGCGCCAGTACCTCCCAGGGCCGGTTCAGTGCCCGCCACTCTGTACACATTGCCCCTCCGCCCTCTCCCGACCAGGAAGCAGCCCTGGAGGGAGCACCCCTAGCCAGGATGTGTCTGGAGCGCTGATCCCCGGACCCCGCTCCTAACCCCTGCCAGGGAGCAGCAGCGCGCGCCCGTGCTGGGCCTGAGCAGAGCAGGCAGCGGTCCCGCTGACCGCCCTCTGTGTCCCCGTGCTCCGTTAGGGCAAGTCACCACTCTGAGGGACCTTAACATCCGGGAGATGCTGCCGGAGAACGTGGACCACTACTACACCTACCAGGGCTCGCTGACCACCCCTCCCTGCTCCGAGAACGTCCTGTGGTTCGTGCTAGCAAACTCCGCGTTCCTCTCCAGGGCACAGGTACCGCAGGCCCGCGCGTCGACCACTTCTCCCCTTGGTGACTGCGGGGGGCAGGGAGGGGAGGGAAGGGGGAGGGGGGAGGGAAGGGGGAGGGGGGAGGGAAGGGGGGAGGGGGGAGAGAGGGATCCCGGGAGGGATCCCGTGCAAATGGCAGTGCCCCTGGTTCCTGTGGCGTCTGCTGTGTCCAGGACCCCTGTGCCCCGCCTGGGGTACCCCGGTGGTCCTCCCAGTGCCGTGGCAGGGATGGGTAAACAGAGACATCAGGGAATTCCGGGGGCCTCGGAGCTGATGCCCACAAGGAGTGGAGCCTGACCCAGGCCACAAGCGAGCAGCCCCTGCTCTGGGTCCTCGGGGAGGGGGGGGGCTCAGGTTCTAACTTCGCAGGTGCCTCTGCAGGAGGGAGCGCTGCCCGGTCTAGGAAGGGCCTGCCCTTCCTGCTTGTCGAGTTCAGTAAATGGGCAGCTGCTACTGAGGTTTTGAGGCAAAGCTGGTATCTCCTTTTATTTTTTTAAAATTATTTATATATTTTAAAGGCAGAGTTGAGAGAGAGAGAGAGAGAGAGAGAGAGAGAATCTTCTATCCACTGGTTCCCTCCTAAATGGCCCCAACAGCTGGGACTGGGCCAGGCTGAAGCCAGGAGCCTGGAGCTCCAGCTGGGTCTCCAAAGTACATGACAGATGCCCAAGCACTTGTCCCATCTTCTGCTGCTTCCCCAGGTACATTAGCAGGGAGCTGGATTGGAAGTGGAGCAGCTGGGACTTGAACCGGCGCCCATATGGGATGCTAGCACTGCAGATGGTGGCTCCACTGTGCCATAATGCCAGCCCCTGATGTCGCCTTCTGAGTGATGTCTTTCCTCAGAAGCAACTATTTTTCTTAAAGTTTTCATTTCCCTACTCCGGGGAAAGAGGGACAAGACCCCTACCCAAGGACACCGACAAATAAAAATCTTGCTACCTAGGCTGGGAGTGTCCCAGGCACCTGGCAAAAGCAAGTGAAAATCCCCTCTGGAGAAGCGCAGCTCACCTGCAGATCCAGAATTCCCACAGATGGCGTTACCTGAAATTAGCTCAATCTAAAAGAAAACGCACAAGACACACGAGGAAAAAGACAGTACGAGTGGGAGCCAGCAAACTCTGATGTGCAAAGATTCTGTATAGTGGAATTCTCAGATAATTAATATCACATAAAGAAGTCTGATGTGTATAAAGAAATAGGAGGTTTAATATGAGGAAAGGGAGACTGGCATTGTGGTGTAGTGGGTAGAGCCGCCGCCTCTGACACCAGCATCTCATATGGGCATCGGTTCGAGTCCCGGCTGCTCCACTTCCAATCCAGCTCTCTGCTATGGCCTGGGAAAAGCATCGGAGGATGGCCCAAGTATTTGGGCCCCTCCCACACAAAAGGGAGACCTGAACGAAGCCCTGGCTTTTGCAGTCACTTGGGAAGTGAACCAGTGGATGGGAAGTCTCTCTGTCCCCCCCCCCCCCATAACTCTGACTTTCAAATAAATAAATAAATCTTTAAAAAATAAGGAAAGGACGAAACACTATAAAAATGGCCAAGTAGGCATGAAAAATAAAACGAAATGGGACTTCTAGAAATTAACAGAAAGTAGTAGCTGAGATTAACAATACAATGAATGAGTTTAACAGCATGTAGGTACAGTTTGAGAGAATTAGTAAATTGGATGGAGGAGCTGAGAAAGTCATCTAGAATGTGGCACAAAGAGTGACAGAAATGAAAATATGAAAAAAAGAAGAGACACAGAGAGTATAGTGGAAAGAATTAGCAAGTGTCCAGCTGAAATTCTAGAAGAGAGACAGAACAGGTAAAAGGCACAATTTGCAGAAATATATGTGATAATTTTCCAGACGAATTGAAGACACCAGGTCCTGTATTCAAGAATCCCAACGAGACAATTAAAAAACATGCAATTAGGATGGACATGTGGTACTGTGGCTAAGTCACCACTTGGGCTGTCCACGTCCATAGCTGAGTGCCTGGTTTGAGTCCTGGACACTCTGCTTCTGATCCAGCTTCCTGCTAATGTGCAGACGCGGCTCAAGTCCACAGGCCTGTGCCACTCATGTTGGAGACCCGGATGGAGTCCCTGGCTCCTGGCCTCAGCCTGGCCTATCTCCAGCTCTTGAGGGCATCTGGGGAATCTGTCAGTCTGTTTGTCTCTCTGATTTTCAAATACAAGGAAACTTTAAAAAAAAAAAGTTTCTTAAATCAAAGAAATCTTGTATTATATGCATCCCACTGAAACCACAAGATAGCAAAGACAAGAGAAGATGCAAAATTCAGCCCCAGAGAGAAGAGAGTGAGTCCCAGGAGACCAAGAGCTGACAGCATAGCAACAGTGAGAGCCACTTCCTAATTTTTCCTTTTTTTTTTTTTAATGATTTATTTAACTTACTTGAGAGTTAGAGTTACAGAGAGGGAGAGAAAGTGAGAGAGAGAGAGGTCTTCCATCTGCTGGTTCACTCCCCAGATGGCCACAACGATCAAGGCTGGGTCAGTCTGAAGCCAGGAGCCAGGAGTTCCCTTCAGGTCTCCCACGTGGGTGCAGGGACCCATGAACTTGGGCCGTTTTCCGCTGCTTTCCCAGGCTCATTAGCAGGGAGCTGGATTGGAAGTGGAGCAGCCGGGGCTTGAGGGGGTGGGGGTGTCCATATGGGATGCAGGCGTTGCAGGCTGTGGCTTAACCCCCTGCTCCAAGTGCCGACTCCTGGAGTCCCACTTCCAGGGTGCTGAGGGAGACGAAGAACCAACCCAGCACTGGACGTGCAGCCAAGGTGCCTGTGGAGAATGAAGGCAAGATGCAGACAAACAGAACCCACACTTGCCACTCGACAGATTCCTGTTGCCTCTTTCCTCTTCTTTCTACTAGTAACCAAACAGGCAAAGGTGAAAGGAGATTGCGTGGAGGTGTTTGTGAGAGCGGATGGTGGATGAGCTGTGGAGTGACCTTCCCGCGTAGCAGCCAGAGCCTCCTCTGCACCTGGCATCCTCTCGCTGCCTCCCCGGGCTACACAGATCCGAGCTCCTGGCGCAGCTGCTAGCTGAACTCTTACAGTGCCCGTGCCTTTTCCCCTCGCTCATTTCCCTTCCCCTCTGCCGTGTGCCTGCAGGTTTGGAAGATGGAGAACTCGTTACTGAATCACCTGAATGAGACCCTCCAAAACGGCTACCGCAGCACCCAGCCCCTGAACCAGAGAGTGGTGGAAGCCAACTTCCTACACTACCCTACTCAGTGTGAGTGACAGACTCCTGTTTCCTGTTTGCAGTTTGCTTTCCCCTCCTCTGTGCGGAGCCAGCGCTTCTGGAAGCAGTGAGGGAGGGAGAGTCGGTTACACCGCAGGAGGCGCTGATGGCCTGGTCGGAGGCTGATGACTTACTTTCCAGTGCGTCGGTGATGCCAGTGGGTAGAACAGAGTCGGTGAGGATAGACAGCTACGTGATTTCCAATCAGTATCACTCCACCTCTATATGTACCTTCCAAAGCTTTCTTTTAAATATTTATTTTATTTATTTGAAAGACAGAGTTATAGAGGGGAGAGGGAGAGGGAGAGGGAGAGGGAGAGGGAGAGAGAGAGGGAGAGGGAGAGGGAGAGGGAGAGGGAGAGGGAGAGGGAGAGAGAGCGAGAGGTCTTTCGTCCAATGGTTCACTCCCCAAATGGCCACAATGGCCAGAGTTGAGCTGAAGCCAGGACCCAGGAGCTTCCTCCAGGTCTTGCACATGGGCTCCGGGACCCAAGCACCTGGACCATCTTCCGCTGCTTTCCCTGGTGCATTACCAGGGAGCTGGATAGGAAGTGGAGCAGCCAGGACTTGAACCAGTGCCTCTATGGGACACTGGCGCTGCATGCCAGGGCTTTAACCCACTGCGCCACAGCACTGGCCCCTCAAATCTTTAAATTTCATACTTCCTCTCCATCCCCTAAGGAGACCCATTTGTGATTTTCTTTCCATTTTTCCTTCCTGGTCCATTTAGTGTTTTCTCTTCTGTTGCTTTACCCCCCCAATTCAACACAAACAGGAAAAGAGTGTCAGCGTCAGGTCCTTTTCCCAAGGGCGATGTGCTCTGCTAGGCAGGGCCAGCCGACCACGCGTTGACCACGGGGACTTTCGGCCCACTGATCTGTCGCCTTGCTCCCCGTTTTGCCACGTTCCCTTTCTTCCCCAAAATCTTCCACTCTCCTCGCATCAGCCACCAACAGACTATGTTGTTCCCCTGGGCCACGTGCCACACGCTCTTTCCACTAGGAGTCACTCCAGTTCATTCTCCAGAGGCTGCCCACATGTCCCCGGGCCCACCCCGGCCTCAGGGGCCCCATGTGGCAATGTGTTGGAGGCTCATAGTTTAGGGTGATGACTTCATTTCCCAGTAGATAATGGAGGCTTCCTCCCTCACTCCCAGCCAGGGCATCTGAGTTGTGCCCCTCCCTCGACACTGTGCTGATAACAGAGCAGGGACCTGTGGGTGGTTTTGGTCTACCCTTCCTCAAACCCAGACTTCAAGAAAGCGGTGATGGGCTCCAGGCATCCTGGTTACATGACTCATGGTATCGCACAGTTCTGTAGAGTTCTGTCCCAGCTGGGTTGATGTAATGAACTCATCAGTGATGAATGACCTGAGAACCCAAGGTCAACTACGAAAACTAGACAAAGGCCAAGCAGGGGCCTCTCACAACGGCTCAGTTAGAAAGCAGCCATGCACCTGAAGGTGTTGGGCAGTGAGGATCCCCGAGAAAGCAAGGTCTTCACCGTGTCACCCCTTGGAGTCCGGCAGCTTCCAAGCCTGAATCCAGACACGGTGAAGGTGCTGTGGTGCAGCTGACGGAGTGGGAGCGAGGAGGGCGTGCCGAGGGCGCAGAGCGCCTTCGCTTACACACCCTGGGCGGGCGGTGCCTGCAGGAGGCCCTTCCAAGTCCGTGCTGTCTCTGACTAACTCTTCTCGTTACAGCGTATGTCTCACTGCCTGAGTTCCAGTCTCATCTATCGTCAATCAACAGAAAGCTTGAGTTTTTGAGAAGATCTATTATACCCAAGAAATTCAAGAGAAAAAGTGACAACTTACTGGCTGGAAGCATGAGCTGGTAGGAAGAGGTGGCCACCTCCGCCACCTCCCCTTGCCCGGGTCTCGGAAACTGTGTGCCAGACGGCGCACCTGCTGCATTTCCGGTTAACGCAGGGGAAGCCATCATCTATGAAAGGAGGTGATACGGTTCAAATGGATGGGAAGGAATTTGAATCTGACTTTGCCAGTGGGAACTGATCGAACCAGAAATCTAAAGGAATCAAGCCATCATTACCTTCCTCTCAAATCATTTACTTGATCTGTCTAAATTATAAATCAGCCCAAATGTCCCTTTAGCATTTAGATATAATAAAATTATTTTTGAAATTTATCTTAAAGTTCATTTCTAGTTATTTGTCCCACCTTCTTTGCTCCGCCCCAAGGGACACAGGTGAGGGACAGAGATGAAGACAGGAAAGATTTCCAGGACCAATGCTAAGAAAAAGGGACGAGATTCTCATGAAGCTTTTTAGGCCAGAAAACAAGAAACGTGCTCAGGCATTGTGGCGCGGTGAGTGAAGCTGCGGGCATCCCGTATCGGGGCACCGGTCCATATCAGAGCACCGGTCCATATCGGGGCACCGGTCCATATCAGAGCACTGGTCTGTATCGGGGCACCGGTCCATATCAGAGCACCGGTCCGTATCAGAGCACTGGTCCGTATCGGGGCACCGGTCTGTATCAGAGCACTGGTCCGTATCAGAGCACCGGTCCATATCAGAGCACTGGTCTGTATCGGGGCACCGGTCCATATCGGGGCACCGGTCTGTATCGGAGCACTGGTCCATATCAGAGCACCGGTCCATATCGGAGCACTGGTCTGTATCAGAGCACCGGTCCATATCGGGGCACCGGTCCGTATCGGGGCACCGGTCCATATCAGAGCACTGGTCCGTATCAGAGCACCGGTCCGTATCGGGGCACCGGTCTGTATCAGAGCACTGGTCCGTATCAGAGCACCGGTCCATATCAGAGCACTGGTCTGTATCGGGGCACCGGTCCATATCGGGGCACCGGTCTGTATCGGGGCACCGGTCCATATCAGAGCACCGGTCCATATCGGAGCACTGGTCCATATCAGAGCACTGGTCCGTATCAGAGCACCGGTCCGTATCGGAGCACTGGTCCGTATCGGAGCACCGGTCTGTATCGGGGCACCGGCTTGAGTCTAGGCTGCTCTCCTTCCAACCCAGAACAACCACATCCCATAATCCTTAATTACATTTAAGAAGATCTTTGTATTTTCCATCATCTAAGGCCACACGCACAGGTTTGGAAGGAGGACGATTCTTGGGGGAAGCCACCTTTCAACCACTTCTGAGGGTAACTCCAAAAGCTTGTAGGCAAACTGGAACTGAAGGCAAAGTCCGGGGCGAGTGACGCAGTGGTTAAGCTGCACCCCGAATCAGCGCCTGGGCTGAAGTCCCAGCTCTGCCCTCGAGGCCAGCTTCCTGCCAGCGTGCACCCTGGGAGGGTGAGGGCTCCCCTGCCACCCAAGTGGGAGACCCAGATCGAGTACCCAGCGCCCAGCTTCGGCCTGGCACAGTCCTGGCTGATGTGGGCCTTGGGGGAGTGACTCACTGGATGAAATATCTCTCTCTGCCTCTGTGTCTTTCTGCCTGTCAAAGAAATAAAAATAATTTATTCATTTCATAAGTTAAAAAAAGCAAAGTTTATTTTAGTGCAAAAATTTGAAATCCTTGTAGTTTTTCATTTTTTTAAAAAAGATTTATTTATTTATTTGAAAGTCAGAGTTACACAGAGAGAGGAGAGGCAGAGAGAGAGAGAGAGAGGTCTTCCATCTGCTGGTTCACTCCCCAATTGGCTGCAACGGCCGGAGCTGAGCTGATCTGAAGTCAGGAGCCAGGAGCTTCTTCCGGGTCTCCCACGAGGGTGCAGGGGCCCAAGGACTTGGGTCATCTTCTATTGCTTTCCCAGGCCATAGCAGAGAGCTGGATCGGAAGTGGAGCAGCCGGGACTTGAACTGGCGCCCATATGGGAGTCGGCATTGTAGGCAGTGACTTTACCCGCTACGCCACAACACAGGCCCCTAAGTTTTTTCATACTATGCGTTCTCCATGAACCTTCTGGAGATTCCTCAGTTGACGAGGGCAGGTTCTTCTTGGACAAACTCCAGCCAGCACGTCCAGGAGTCACGTTCTGGGGGCCGGCACTGTGGCACAGCAGGTTACGCTGCCATCTGCGGCACCAGCATCCGTATGGGCGCCGCTTTGAGTCCCTGCTGATCCACTTCCTGTCCAGCTCTGCTGTGGCCTGGGAAAGCAGCAGAGGATGGCCAAGTGCTCGGGCCCCTGCACCCCTGTGGGAGACCCAGACGAAGCTCCTGGCTCCTGGCTTTGTCCTGACCCATCTCTGGTTGTTGCCGCCGTTTGGGGAGTGAACCAGCAGATGGAAGACCTCTCTCTCTCTCTCTGTCCCTCCCTCTCTTGCTGTAACTGGTGTTCAAATACAATACATTTTCTTTTTTTGAAAGAAGGAGTCACGATGCAACCTCCATGAGGTAGCAGACGCAGATGGTGATCACCTTTGCGCCCTCATGACGCCAGATGAGACCCCCGAGGTGCTTGTCCAGCGTGCTTGTCACGGGAACTCAGAGCTAACGGCTTGAGCTGCAAGCAGAAAGCATGCATTGGCTTATGCAAGCCCCGAGCAAGGAGGTCTAGTGACCAAGACCAAGTTCCCCGACCAGCCAGGGGGTCACGTTTTGCAGGGCTTGCAGGAGCTCTAGGGCAATTTTGTGAAGGGTTTTGCATATTTAAAAGGAACAGGTGTGCACGCCCACACGATCATCATACATGTTACATACGTCCCAAGTTTGGTTGGAGGTGGAGATTCATGCAGCGTAACGAAGGAGCACTGGGTTTTCTACAAGAGGGGATGTTGCGGGTACAAGGGCCGCTGTCTCTAGACCCCCTAACCGGCCACAGCTGGGTCGGGACTTCAGGTTCTTGAGAAGAGCTGTCACTCAGTGGTGTCCTTGTCCAGTCATCTGTGGTCCTTGTCCACCTGCAGAAGCATCGGGTTATTGTCACTTCCTCAAGATGGGCGTGGGAGTGTGAAGCTTCAAGGGCTCTTTGTGTTCATGGTGACAGATGGATCAGGGCGACAGCCTGCAGAGGCACGGAGCAGTGCTAATGACCCTGAACGTGAGACAAGCAATCCCAAAATCACTGAGAGTGGAGCTAATGACCCAAGAGAACAAGGCATGGAAAGGAATGAACTGACGGCTAATAGGAGGAGAAGCAGAAACAATGGTTACTCTCCTGGAGGGAGGGGGCAGCTAGCCTCGTGGTTAAGATGCTGGCATCCCCAACAGAGTGCCTGCCCTTGAGCTCTGGCTGCAGCTTCCTGCTCCTGCCGACCCTGGGAGGCAGAGGTGAGGGTTCAAGCACTTGGGTCCCTGCCATGCTCAAGGGAGTCTCGGACTGACTTCCCAGCTCCCGGCTTTGGCCCCAGTCCAGCCCAGATGTTGCAGGCATTTGGGGGATGAGCCAGGGGTGGGGTCTCTCTGACACTGTGTACGCATGTGTGTCTATCTGCCTCTCAAAAAATAATGTCAGGGCTGATGCTGTGGCGTAGTGAGTAAAGCTGCCGCCTGCAGTGCCAGCATCCCATGTGAGTGCTGGTTCGAGTCTCAGCTGTTCCACTTGTGATCCAGCTCTCTGCTATGGCCTGGGAAAGCAGTAGAAGGTGGCCCAAGTGCTTGGGCCCCTGCTACCCATGGGGGAGACCTGGAAGAAGCTCCTGGCTCCTGTTTCGGATCAGCCCAGCTCTGACCGTTGCAACCTTATGGGGAATGAACCAGCGAATAGAAGACCTCTCTCTCTCTCTCTCTCTCTCTTCCTGCCTCTGCCTCTCTGTAACTCTGACTTTCAAGTAAATAAATTTTTAGCAATAATAAGTCCATGAAAAGACTCCATCTTCCCTAGTGATTAAAGCAGCAACAATTAGGAGGAAATACCATTTCACAATGCCAGACTGGCAGCAGCAGAGCCCAGGTGCTCCTGAGGCTGTGGGGCAATCCTCCTGCCGTGCAGGTGGGAGGGTGAGCAGGTGCAGCCACTGGGAAGCCTTCGTCCAGACCTCACCCTGCTCAGCATGTGCACATCGTGTGACCCAGAAACCCCACGCCGACGTGTTTACCTTAGAGAAACTTGCGTGTAGGCACAAGAAGCAAAAACATTCATGGTCACATTGCTTCTGATTGAAAGATTTAATTTTTATTTTTTGACAGGCAGAGTGGACAGTGAGAGAGAGAGACAGAGAGAAAGGTCTTCCTTTGCCGCTGGTTCACCCTCCAATGGCCGGCGCACCGCGCTGATCTGATGGCAGGAGCCAGGTACTTCTCCTGGTCTCCCATGGGGTGCAGGGCCCAAGCACTTGGGCCATCCTCCACTGCACTCCCGGGCCACAGCAGAGAGCTGGCCTGGAAGAGGGGCAACCGGGACAGAATCCGGCGCCCCGACCAGGACTAGAACCCGGTGTGCCGGCGCCGCAGGCGGAGGATTAGCCTAGTGAGCCGTGGTGCCGGCTGAAAGATTTAAGAAGCAACCTAAATGTGTTTGTCAAAAGACCAAGATAAAACGGTCAAGGGTTACAGATCGGATGAGGTCATGGTTAAGAAGGAATGGACTAGAACTGGATACGTCAACAGGACAGCAGAGAATACACACAGCACGACACTTAGAGAAAGTCGGACAGCAACACAATAATGACCTGCAGATGTAATTTAAAGGTGGCAAAATGCATCACGGGGTAACTGATGAGACGGGTGGCTGCACCCCTCGAGAGCAGGATCGTGTTTGTGATGATGATGACATTGCGGGTGGCGGGCCATGGGTACTCATTACTCTACTGCTATTTATTCCTGTAAAACACAAATCTAATCGAGTCTTTTCCCACGAAAATCCTGCTGTCTTTCCTGTTACACTTTGAATCAATTCCCGAGCACTAAGGCAGGAGCAGCCAGAGGGGTGGGGGCTGGGCAGCAGCAGGTGGGTCTTTTTAGGGAGGGGTCTGCAGCCTGCTGGGCCCACTGCCCCACTGCCGGCCGGCTCGGAGGTCTGACCTCTGTCACTGTCCAGGAGTCCCTGGGGGAGCAGGGCCGAGGGTCTCCCATCTTCCTCTGGAGACTCCTCAGGGACAGCAGAGACCCCGCCCCCCACCGGGCGAGACGGGAGCCAAGGACTTGATTGTCCAAACTGCTATACCCAAGGGTAAAAGTTTTCAAAACTTTTTGGTAAATTTTAGCCAACTGTGCTTGCTCAGATTTGAAGTGGTGTAAGGTGGACAAATGTCTAACCAGAGTTA